TCTTATCTTTAAAAAATATAGTTTGTGTGTGTGTCTGTCCATTGCCATGTTTTGTGCCTATGTTCTTGGAGTTCAGAAGATGTCATCAGACCCCCTGGAGCTGTAGTTACAGGCAGCTTTGAGTTCCCTAACATGTTTGCACGGAAGTAAACTCCAGTCCACTGTAAGAGCTCTTAACCACCGAGCCATATCTCTAGCCTCATATTCCCAGCTTTTATGGATTAGATTGTATATCTACCCCCTCCCCCAACTCCATCTTCTTCTTCCTCAGTCACAAGGTCTTGTTATGTAGCAAAGCCAGCTTCAAACTCCTGTTTGAACATTTTAAGGTCTGGGATATAGGCATGTTCCTTGCTGCTAACTAGAATGTGTATCTTCTGTCTGCATATTAACAAGTACATCGTAGGAATTATATGAATATTTGTTAAGTAAATGAATAAACCAAACCTGCAATCGGATCCTTGTACTGAATTAAGGAAACAGTAAACCTTTCAGGAAAAAGTTTTATTTATTGATGGTCTCAAAGCACTGGTAATATTTTAAGAGGCAGGTAGTCAAACAATATGAGGAGTCATTGGAAATAAAAGTCTTTTTGAGTTGGTGTGTGCAGTGTGTGTCACTAACATGTGTCTGGTGGTTTTGAAATTGTGGAGGATCTTAGTGTTGCCACATAGAAAGCTCTTTTTTTTTTTTTTTTTTTTTTTTCTTAATCGCATAGCCAGTTAAACAGGAGAGTGATTTGGAAGGAAAACAGCCCAGGCTGTATCTGACATATCATGCTCTACTATGTTAGAAAAGTACACTGATGGCCAAACCAGTTAGATAGCTGTGTTGTTACACCAGGCAGAACTGAAAGAAAGTGTTAACCAGTGAGTGTCAGCAGGAAGGAAAATTAAGCGTGTAATCACCTAGTTAGGTGTTGGCCACTGACTGGATAGATGGGTGAAAGAAGAATGATGTAAGACAAGTATTAAAAGAAGTGTTGATGTTGATGAGAGAGAACTATCCAAAGACATAGAGTTGGGGAGGTGAGACTGGAAATGCAGATAACTTTCTTGGGTTAGAGGTATAGAAGGCTTTCTAGATGATTTCATGAGTATATTCCTTTAATTATCAAATTACATTCAATCCACACACCATCACATGTTAACTACAGGCATGTAGAGTTGGCATGTTGCATTGAGGTTTTCTTTTATGTATCAGAATTTTGTATAATGCTTATTCTGTGTGTTTTACGCATACATCGATTTGGCCTGGATTGAGCTCTCTAGGACACTCTAATAAAATCTCTTTGTTTTAGAATATGGGTTATGGTAAGGACATGCAGGAAAAAAAATCAGACTAATAGTGGATTAAAACTATGCAGCTCCCCTAAAATTAATTTGTTTCTAAAATTAATTTCCTTGAATTTTTGAGACAGAATATCACTATGTAATGCAGGATAACTTAAAATTCAAGAGCCTCTGTTAGAAAAATGACACCAGAGAGGTGCTTAAAGACAGACTCTGAGCTGTTACATAGATCAGCAAATGGAGGTACCAGTGGGTTTGCAGGCAAAGGTCAGATGGCAGTAGAAAACACCTAGAATAGTCTGGTGAGAATGGTGTAGTGTAAAACAGCAGAGGTGGAAGAGCTGTATGGAAGGACTGTAAGGTATGTTGAGTGATGTGGCTCGCCACTGAAGTGAAAGGCACGACTAGTGAGGTCCTAACACCACGTGGCCAGAGATCAGAGAGCTTTGCATGTGCACAGAGGATTCGTACCAAGTTGCTGGAGCAGATCTCCTGACAGCCTAAATGGAAAGGTCCATCTCAGCTTCCCATGAGCAGTAGGAAGAGAGATGGTGGAGAGATAGCGCAGAGGTTAAGAGCACTGGCTGCTCTTCCAGAGGTCATGAGTTCGATTCCCAGCAACCAGTGTGGTTCACAACTATCTAAAATGAAATCTGGCGCCCTCTTCTGGCGTGCGGTTGTACATGCAAACACACATTGTATACATAATAAATAAATCTTAAAAAAAAGAAGCGGAGTGAATGGAATTTTATGTAAGAAGTGGGAAATAGTAAGAGCTGGAGAGGACAGGGTCTCCACAAGGAGAGCAACAGAACACAGGGAACTTCCCAGAGATTCATACTCCAACCAAGGACTATTCATGGAGATAACCTAGAACCCCTGCACTGATGTAGCCCATGGCAGTTCAGTGTCCAAGTGGGTTACATAGTAATGGGAAGAGGGACTGTCTCTGACATAATCTGATTGGCCTGCTCGTTGATCACTTCCCCCTGAGGGGGGAGCAGCCTTACCAGGCCACAGTAGAGGACAATGCAGCCACTTTTGATGAGAACTGATAGACTAAGATCAGAAAGGAGAGGAGAACCTCCCCTATCAGTGGACTTGGGGAGGGGCATGCATGCAGAAAGGGGAGGGAGGGTGGGATCGGAAGGGGAGGAGGGAGGGGCTTATGGGGGGATACAAAATGAATAAAGTGTAATTAATAAAAAAAGAAGCAGAATCAAGGAATAGGGTGATATGAATCAGGTACCTTATATAAGGTAAAGAAGTACAAATAGCAGAGGAAGCAAAACACATTCCTGGGTAAGATGTGTTTTTCAACATCCAACATCAGGTTCTTTATTTCTTTGTTTTCCTCAAATACCCCGCATAGTGAAAAAAAGCTCAAGAAATGTTCAGTGAATAAATCAGTAGGGTTCTCAGTCTTGTTTCTAATGTTAGCAAATAACAGAAGCTCAAAAAAATGTAGATTAATTGGAAATTGGCTTATCTGAACTAGAAGGAAGTCTTAATGAGTAAAACATATTTAAAGAAAAAGGTTTTATTATGCTCAAATGCTCACAATTAACATTAATTAATTGAAGAACTGTCAAAAGGTGCTTGAAGTTCTGTTGTAATAAATAAAAATTTAATATATGCTACCTATTTCTAAGAAATTCAAGTTAATATATATGTATATACACATATTCTTTTTTTGAAGTCTTCATAGTCTTATTTTTCATTATTGTTTTTTTCAACTCATGTTGATCCTAGCTTTTAATATTTTATATATGTGCATTTGCGTGATTGTTTTGTGAATATCAGTTACTTCTATTACATCCTATTTATGTTTCGTTTCTTAAAAAAATAAAAATAAAAATTTAAAAACAGAAAAATCAAGATCCTCCTGCCTCATCTTCCTGAGTGTTGAGTTTATAGGCCTATACCACAGTAATTACTTGCAATTACAAGCAATTCTTGTTAGAAGATTGATTCATATAACTTCTCATTGCATTCATGAGTTTTCTACTTTTCAGTGTCACTATGTAGGCACTGGCATTGGTCTCAATTTGAATACCAGTGGCGCTGGGCTGCCATCTACTCTGGTTTATCCTTTCATTTCTGATACCCTCTAACAGGAAGCCCTATACTTACCCAAGTTCCATTAGCAATTGCTACTCTTAAACTATTTTTTTCTAGCTCACAACTACCTTATTATTTTTGCTTAAGGGGAAGCTATTGAAGTGGTCTGACTCTTGAACTCATTTTTTGCTATCACCTTTCAGAAATTTATAGTGCTTAAAATAAGGCATTAATTCTTTTTCATTATAAAAAGTAAAGCAGAAGTAGATACCATGGAATAGACAGTAAATGAAGGTAAGATTTACTTATCTATGTGTTGTTTTTAGTTATTTGTTTATAACAAGTATGTTACTGTATATTGAACTTTTAAAATGAAACCTTTAAAATTTTAAACAAATATCAGAATATTGAACTATCTGCTGAGTTATATACCGTTTTCCCGATCAAAATAGTATCACACTTTGTTTCTCATGTTTTTTTCTCCTTAAATTATTTCCTTTTGCATATTTTATTAAAGAAATCCTTTCTTAGATTTCTCTTTAGACATATTTTGTCAACAACTGAATAGGATACAACATTCCTGGAAGAACCGTTATCTAGAGGATAATTATCAAATTATTGCAGACCTAAGTGACTCTTAATCTCAATAAACTCTTTGTCACATTCTGGGCATTCTTATATTTGTTTCTTAAAGTCATATTTTTTGCCCTTATTTATAGTGTTGTCTCATAGGGGATTCAACTGAAATCTTTTTTTAAGAATGATTTTTATTTTTAATTCCAATCAGATGTGTATGTCTTTGTGGGTGTGTGCATGTGAGTACAGTTGCCCATGGAAGCCAGAGGAAAGTATGAGATTCCCTAGAGTTGTAGCTTCAGGTAGCTATGAGGCAACTAAAGTGGATACTAGGAACCAAACCTCTGTCGTCCAACAAGAGCAGTAAGTGCTCTTATTTGCTGAGCCTTCTTTGTCGCCTCCAAATATATATTTTTTAATACTAGAGATACATGCTTAGAATTTTCAAATAAATAAGGAAACTAAAATTTATAGAGGTAAGTGAAGAGGTCATAGAATATTCTTTGACAAAGCCAATGTAAGAATTGAAATCTCCTGTGCTTGGGATGCAAGTTTACTGTTAAGAGTATTTCACTATGGCTCTGGATCCCGACCGAGAAGGCAAGGTCATCTTCTCTCTGGGTCGCAAGCGTTCTGCAGTTGCCATGGCCGCACTGACCACCTTTGTAGCGGGGGCCCTGATGATGCCCTCCATGGTCCTGGCTTACACCAGCTGGGCACCTTCATGATGCTTGTCATGTGCATCAGTTGGACCTCCGCCACCTTCTTCTTCCAGTGTATGTGTCGGTGCCTTGGGCCACAGGGTACCTGTGGCCAGATCCCTTTACCTAAAAAGCTTCAGTGCAGTGCCTTTGCCCACACCTTGTCTGCAAGTCCTGGCAAAGTCCTGGGGACCAAACAAAACACACACCTCCAGTGCTTGACACCAGGGGCCAAAAATCCGAAGTAGAACATGAGTTTTACGAGTTACAGCCACTGGCATCTCACGGTTGTGCTGCCTCAGAGAAGAACACTTACAGAGAGCCACACATCTGCTCTGAGTTTTTCAAAGGCCAAACAAAGAACTTAAGAATGCGTGTGCCTGAAGCCTACAGCAGCGAACTCACCAAAAGCCCCAGGAGTGAAGCAAGCTCAGCCCTGTTAGAGCTCTGTCTGGAGCAGGACGCCATGTGTCACTTCTCTGTCAGTCCGAGGTGCAGCTGCCCAAATGCCTACACACACAGATGGGTGACTCCCTATGTCACGAGTGTGCCTCCACTGCTGATAGCTTTGTCCAGATTCAGAATGCAGTGGCGCCAGTGAAGGCCACACACCAGGCTGCTGAAGACCTTCTGCATTCCATTTGACACACGCTTCTGCCAGGGATGCAAAATTCACTGCTGAGGAATTTCTTTCTCCACCCAGTGCAGCACATTCAGGCTCAAGAAAAGCTCAGTCATACCAGCATACACAGCCTTCAGGACACAGATGAGCATCTTCCCAAAGAGCTTGTTGCAACCCTGAGACTAACCAAAGGGGGCTCTGCAAAAGCAGAGACACGGAGGACACAGAGAGCAGTGGAAGGACTGAAACCAAGGTCTCTAGTTTCCCAAACCAGACTGACAAGGCAGAGAAGGTGGAGCCAGGCCTGCTGCAGACCAATGAAATTGTGAATTCAGAACACTTACATCATAATGAACCCAAACTTATTTTCAGCCATTTAACAGGGGAGGCCAGCTGCAGGTCCTGCCCAAACAGTCCACAAAGCTGTAGAAGCCTTGTGCGATTGAAGTGCGGTTCCGTGGACTACCAGGTGCCAAACCTCGAAGCCAACGTGCCTGTTGTACCAACATACTCAGAACTGTCTGGCGAAAGTCTGTTAATAAAAACGCTATAATAAATCCAGCTTTGCCTTCAGGAAAAAAAAAAAGAGTATTTCACTAGCATGTAAAGCACTTTCTCAGGTCACTCCAGAAAAAAAAGAAAAAAGAAAAAAGAAAAAAAAAAGAAAATAGTGAAAAATTAGGAAATACAAAAGGAATAAACAAAATTTATTTTCTTACCTGTAATATGAATAAGTGAATAATTCTTTCATCCTGTCTTCCTGTAGTTAGAAGTCTGCTTCTTATTGACTCATTAATATGCCATACTTGTTTATACTCTGTTGTGCTTTGTTTCTCATAATACATTTTTCACATTATTGCTTCCTTGTTCCTGGTTCAAGTCTTGTATATCTTATTACTTCTGATTAAATGTTGGGTTCTGAATGCTGTCCTTTAATGTTGTTTAGTTTATTAGCATTATCTTGATGTAGTATTTATCAATAGGTTCTTGGTTTCCCTAGAACAAGACCCATGCCATTATGACTTTAATTTCTGTCTTACAAGTTCTTACTATAAAACTATTCAGTAAATATAAGTGTGTGCTTTCTTCAGACAATTTAAACAGAAATAGGATTTGAATTTCTCTGAAGCATTTGTTAAATAAACATGCCAATATAATGAAAGGAATTGCTGATGGATCTTTAAACTGCTTGAAATAATTTCCTAGGAATAAAGGGATGCCTTGTAGGAATCTAGTGCCAAACAGGACAGATGGATTCCTGCTTTCTCTGAGCTTAAGTGGGCAGGTAGATAATAAATATCTAATTATAGTTGTGATAAATGCTGTGAAGTAGTGTGTGCTGATCATTAAACTGAGAGACTTCCTGCAGTTTAAAACTTAGGAATTATATCTGGAGTTTTCTGATTAATATTTTAGACTACAATTGAATCTAACTAATTTAAATCATACATAATGGAGGCTGAGAATAAATAAGAACCGCCGCATAGAAGAACTGGTAATACACATTCACCTAAGGAAGAGAGGTTGAAAATTTTTATACTGGTTAACAAGAGTATAGAACAACTTCCTGATTGCTGAAGTAAAACCATATATCTTTAGCATTTCTAAGCAACTGGTCGGGTATCTTGACAGTCCAGTCAGGACAGTGCGTTTAATGAAAGTGTTCAATCCAGGCAGAGTACACTACTCTGATAGCATGGTGGTATGTCATGGTGACTACATGAAAGGACACAGCAAGATGTTCAGCACTAAAATAATCTATTTCAGTGACTGCTCTGTTCACTTGTTTACTTTTATGTCTTAACACTATGTTATTGACACTGTGGACGGAGATTTAATAGTCCATTAAGAGCTAGTACGGTTCTCAGTTATTATTTTTTTTAAAAAAAAGCATTGCAGTGGTAAAATTCTGTTAGAACACATACAGACACTTTAGAACTCCATAAAAAAAAAAAAACAAAGTGCCTTCTCATTAATGAGATGATATAGTGCAAACAAAATTGTTGAGTAAATTTACATTTGATGCGTCTGCATAGATTTTTTTAATCCATCGAATTCCCTAGTTGTTTCTAGTGTCCACATTTCTTTCTTGCAACGTAGAGTATTGAACCCTAGGCCTTTACTACATCTCCACACCCCCAACCCATTCCTTCAAAATCACTCTGCTTTAGTCCACAATTCATTTGAGAGGATATGAGTTATGATTTCTATGAGGACCATTATCAGAAAGTTGCTTTTATTTCTGTGCACAATCGAATATAAATTGAGAAATTTGAACCTGTTTTATAGAAAGTACCTTTTCCTTCTTTAATTTTTAGATTATAATGTAATTATAACACTTCCACTTCTCCATTCCCTTTACTCCCTTCAAACTCTCCCATAGTCCTTCCTGTTCTAGTATGGACTAACACTTCTAATATTCAGGAAAAAAAAATTAACTACAAACTCCAAACCCACCCTATTTTTTTATGTGTTTTTCCAGATTATTTTCACTGGGGCAAGTATTTGAAAGAGACTGGATCTGAAAGAGCTCCTTCAGATATTTCAGACAGGTACGCCATAATTCTGTTGTTATTTTACACAGTGATGTATGCCATTAACTTGTGGAAGGTTATCTGTCTGTGTGGTTACAGGGTTCTAGTCATATGAGGAGTAAGTGGGATTAGGCTTGTGCCATTCATAACCGGATGATCTACTTGCAGTAATTTTGTTAGATGTACTTAGCCCTTAAAATTGCCCATATGGAAGGAAAGACATAAATAGCGAAGGATTATGAGAAATATAACCCTATACTGATAGGGCTCGTGGAAGAGACACTATTTAAGATTGTTAGAATGAGGAGAAAGGAAACATCCAAAATAATTTGAGCATCAAGACATGACATAGAGGAGCTGGTATGTAAGGTAAACAGAGGCACCTATGGGATCAAGGTCAAACATGTGTAGGGATGTTTGAAATGTGCTGGGAAATTTAACTTTATCATAGGCTTTGATAGGACTTCCAGTTTGCTCATTTCAAGAGGACTAGCTTAAGGAGATTTTTCTTTTTAAAAGTCTTTCAGGGTGTATTTTATAGGCTATATTTGGGTTTTCTGGTGTTTGATGTTTGAGGCTAGAGAGGACCAGTGTTTTTATGCTGCATGTCAGTCAAAAGGGAGGTTTTGCCTTGAACCTTGTAACACTGACCTCATTCACCTTCTGCTGTGACTCTACCTAAAAATGTCTTCTAACTATTCTGGTAATATAATTTGCCACTCTCTCTCTCTCTTTCTCTCTTTCTTTTTTTAAGATTTATTTGTTATGTATAAAATGTTCTGTCTGCATGTACACCTACATGCCAGAAGAGGGCGCCAGATCTTATATCAGTGGACTTGGGATGGGCAAGCGAGAAGAAGGGGGAGGGAGGGTGGGGCTAGGAAGGGGAGGAGGGAGGGGCTTATGGGGGATACAAAGTGAATAAACTGTAATTAATAAAAAAATAAAAAAAGATTTATTTGTTATGTATAAAATGTTCTGTCTGCATGTACACCTACATGCCAGAAGAGGACGCCAGATCTTATAGATGGTTGTGAGCCACCATGTGGTTGCTGGGAATTGAATTCAGGAGCTCTGGAAGAGCAGCAGACAGTGCGCTCAAACTCTGAGCCGTCTCTCCAGCCCCTGCCATCTCTCTTTCCTATCATTCATGCGCTTTAGCACAGTTTTATTTATGTGTAGTCTAAGACGCCACCAACCAATGAATTTCAAGTTGGTATGAAATTGGAAGCCCATGACCCTCACAATATGGTGTCAGTGTGTGTTGCTTCTGTTACTGGAATTACTGGAGCCGGATTATGTTTACGACTGGATGGTGCTGACAGTAAGAATGATTTTTGGAGACTTGTTGGTTGATTCTTCAGACATATGGCCTATTGGAACATGTGAACAAAAAAGAGAATTACTTCAGCCTCCACTGGTTAAGGATATAGTTGTTGTTGTTGTTGTTTTTTTTTTTTTTTAACATAGTCTTACTAGTAAACTATTAATTAGAGATGGTTTTAAATGTCCGTTTGAAAATCACTTAAGGCCTTTTTGTAAGTGTCTGATCAGGTAGTTACTATGAAACATACATGACTGGAGAGGAGCTTGGTACCAACTCACCTTTACACAAACCGCGCAGGGGTGCAGAACGGCCTCATGTTTGAGCATGTGATAGTCATCTTCCAATTTAAAGAACCGAAAGCAGCTTTCTTAGATTATGCATGTGAATTCAGAAGCTCTTCTAGGGAAGAAGTCCGTCACATCTTCCGTGAGTGCTGCACCTCCTGATCCTGTTCCGTGAGCCATTCAAAACCTTTGGGAGGAGGATAGGAAAAATGTGAAATGTCACAGTGTGAGACCAGTACAAGAATCAGCACTTTTTTACTCACCGAGAGAGTTTTTTTTTTTCAGACCTAACCATTAGACCCCAAGGAATCTAGTTACTGTTAGTCCTTGGAAAGGATGAGAGAATGAAAGTTTTAGCAAAGGGTTTAAGTTTAAGCACATGTGGTACTCGTTTTGGGCTGTTTTTAAAATGTAAAAAGGTAATGACATATTTTTTTTGGAAAAAAAATCCTTTGAGGATTGAGGAATACCTAGGTAATCTGTAGAAAATGAGTGATTAGTTCATTTGATCATCATTGTGTATTCTTAGTGAATTTCAGATGTTAGTTTGTATGTCCTTTATAATGCTTAAAATAAGAATGAATGTAAAACTTGGAATACTTTTTTAAAAATTATTTTTATTTTTATTACAGTTTATCACTTTGTATCCCCCCTATACCTACCTCCCTCTTCCCCTCCCCATCCCCCCCCCCCCCCTTCCTTCCCCCCCCCCCCCCCCCCCCAGTCCACTAATAGGAAAGGTCCTCCTCCCCTTCCCTCTGATCCTAGTCTATCAGGTCTCATCAGGACTGGCTGCATTGTCTTCCTCTGTGGCCTGGTAAGGCTGCCCCCCTTCAGGGGGAAGTGATCAAAGAGCAGGTCGCTGAGTTCATGTCAGAGACAGTCCCTGTTCCCATTACTAGGGCACACTGAACTGCTATAGGCTGCCTCTGTGCAGGGATTCCAGGCCATGTCCATGAGTGGTCCTTGGCTGGTGTATCTGTTTCAGAAAAGACCTCTGTGTTCTGTTATTTTTTTGGATCTGTTGCTGTCCTTGTGGAGCTCCTGTTCTCTCTAGGTCTTACTGTCTCCCCCTTCTTTCATTAGATTCCCTGCACTCTGCCCAAAGTTTGGCTATGAATCTCAGCATCTGCCTCAATACCCTTCAGGGTAAAGCCTTTCAGAGGCCCTCTGTGGTAGGCTCCTGTCCTGTTCCCTGTTTTCTCCCTCCTCTGATGTCCATCCTCTTTGCCTTTCTGAATGGGGATTGCAGAATACTTTTTTATTAGTGAAATATTTCCCAATAACCAGTAATACAGAATACTGAGAACAATTAGTAATATTGTTTCAAATTTTGTTAGTTAAAATTGATGTACTTTAAGGACTAGGGTGTAAGCCAGTAATAAATACACATAATTAACATTCACAAAGAACTGTATTCAATTCTTTTTTTAAAAATAATTTATTTGTATTTTATATACATTGGTGTTTGGCCTGTATGGATGTCTGTGTGAGGGTGTCAGATCCCCTGGACCAGTAGTTATAGATAGTTGTGAGCTGCTATGTGGGTGCTGGGAGTTGAACCCGGGTCCCTTGAAATAGCAGAGAGCACTCTTAACCATTGAGCCATCTCTCCAGGCCCTGTATTCAATAATTAGTACCAAAAAGAATTCTATTAAAGTGATTTTAAAAGGGGTGCAGTGGAACTTAGTGGCAAGGTGCTTTATTTGTTAGTGGCATCCCACTTCATTGACCATTTAAATTGGTCAGAGCTATGTTTATTTTCTCTTTCTTGAACAGTTAACCCTTCTGCCTCAGCTTCCAGTGTTGAGACCATACATTTGTGTCACTACACAAAAAGTTGTTTTTTTTATTTTTAATTTTTTAATTGCGTTTACATTTATTCATTATGTGGTTTCTATACACGTATCACAGAGTTCAGCTTGGGAAAATCAGTTGTCTTCCTTGTACCATGTTCTAAATAGCAAACTCAGGTGATCAGGCTGGGCAGTAAACAGTGCGTTCCAACCCCTCCATTAATTTGCACCATCACCATTTGTTTCCTAGTTATAGTTTGGGGAGTTTCAGTAAAAGATTATTGGAGGGTGACTTTGTCTATCTCAAGGTGTTTTTTTTTTTTTTCGTATGTTGCCCTGTTGATAGCTCTGTGGGCTGCGATTCACCTGTGTCCCCATCTTAGTGCATGCATTCATCAAGAGTGCATATAACCTCTTTCCAATTCTAGTGTTGGGGCAGGCAGGTTTCGAGTGAAAAGAATTGCCTCAGAAAACAGTGAAATAGCAAGCTTGTACTCCTTGCTTCATATGACATATGCTGACGTAAGTGGGTGAAATTTCTATTTTGAGGACTTCTGGTATGAGTTTTGAGAGCATGTTTAGTATGTATGGAAATTGCTAAAGGAAGAAAGGTCTTCTTACTAATATTTTATGAAAAGTTTCAGATGTACACGAAATGTAGAATATTTTACAGTGAATATTCATAGACTTACCTACCTCGTTATTTACCATACTTGCTTTCTTATTTGATTGTTCATCTATGTTATTTGATGTATTCCAGAAGAGGTGATATTCATAGACTACCCATACAGACTTCAGCATTCATGTTGTCAACGAGAGTATGCATGCATAGTTTTGCACCTTTAAAAACTTAGAATAAGATGCCCTTTGTATATATGCATGTGTGAAGTTCAATAAACATGATCTTTCTGAAAGGACAGAAGTCCGGAACTCCAAGAAACGAGGGGCTAGAGGCCTTTTGCAATCTTTGTTTTCATGCTTGGATGTTTGGTAGTGGGAGAATAAAAGCTCTCCTGAGCTGTAGTGTGGATTACCTGTGTTATTTTGCCCTGCCCTCAACATAAGCATGTTTGTTGGCAAACCCTAGTCAATTGCTTCTCTAAAATGAGAGTCCCTGGTTCTACTTTGATATTGTTGCTAGACATCAGAGGGGTGGATATAGCGACAAGAAGATTAATTTCCTTTTATTCAAGTCCTTAGAAAGTTATTCTCTGAAGAGGATTGGTGAATGTAACCCATTTATTCTCTGTGATCAAATTTTCACAGGTTTTTCATGATACCTAATTTATAAAACACGGTACAGAATGAATGTTTCATCATGGCCTGTGTTCTTATTATGGACACTAACTAGATCTGAACCGACACCTGCAGTGTTCTTTAAGAAGGTGAGAAAACAATTCTATCCTCTAGAACATGATTTTATTTTTTCATTACATTTCATTTCATTTCTTTCTTTATTAATTTATTACAATTTATTCACTTTGTATCCCCACTGTAGCCCCATCCCTTGTCTCCTTCCACTCCCACCCAACCTCTCTCTTCTCCCCCTATGCCCTTTCCCTAGTCCTCTGATAGGGAGGACCTCCTCCCTTTCTATCTGACCCTAGCCTATCAGGTCTCACCAGGACTGGCTGCATCATCTTCCTCTGTGGCCTGGCAAGGCTGCACCCCCGCCAGGGGGAGGTGATCAAAGAGCCTGCCACTGAGTTTATGTCAGAAACCCCTTACTAGGGAATCCACTTGGAAACTGAGCAGCCCTATGCGTTTCCTCTGAACAGGGGGTCTAGGTCCTCATCATGCATAGACCTTGGTTGGAGTATCAGTCTCTGCAGGACACCCTGGATCCAGGTATTTTGGCTCTGTTGCTCTCCTTGTGGAGTTCCTGTCCCCTCCACGTCTTTCTATCTCTCTCTTCTTCCATAAGGATTCTGGCACTCTGCCCAAAGTTTGACTATGTGTATCTTCTTCAATACTCTGGTGGGTAGAGTCTTTCAGAGGCCCTCTGTGGAAGGCTCTTGTTCTGTTCCTTGTCTTCTCCTACTCCTACGTCTATCCTGTTTGCCCTTCTGAATGAGGATTAAGCATCTTCCCTAGGGTCCTCCTTATTGTTTAGCTTCTTCAGGACTATAGAATTTAGTATGTTTATAATATATATTATATGGCTAATATCCACTTATAAGTGTGTATATACCATGTGTGTCTTTCTCCTTCTTGGTTATCTCACTCAGGATGATCTTTTCTAGTTCCCACCATTTGCCTGCAAATTTCATGATTTCCTTGTTTTTAATAGCTGAATAGTTTCCATTGTGTAAATGTACCACAATTTCTATATCCATTCCGCCATAGAGGGACATCTAGGTTGTTTCCAGATTCTAGCTACTACGAATAAAGTTGCTACAAACATGGTTGAGCAAATGTCCCTGTTATGTACTTGAGCATATTTTGGATATATGCGTAGGAATGGTATAGCTGGATCTTGAGGTAGCACTATTCTTAATTTTCTGAGAAAGTGCCAGATTGATTTCCAAAGTGGTTGTACAAGTTTGCATTCCCACCAGGAATGGAGGAGGGTTCCCTTTTTCTCCACATCCTCTCCAGCATGTATCGTCACTTGAGTTTTTGATCTTAGCCATTCTGATGGGTGTAAGGTGAAATCTCAGGGTCGTTTTGATTTGCATCTCCCTGATGGCTAAGGATGTTGAGCAAATATTTCTGTTAGTGTTTCTCTGCCATTCGATATTCCTCTGTTAAGAATTCTCTGATTAGCTCTGTACCCTATTTTTAAATTGGATTACTTGGTTTGCTGGTGTTTAACTTCTTTAGTTCCTTATATAGTCTGGATATTAGCCAGAAAAAGAAAAAAAAATGTCTCATTGATTCTTTGTTTTTCCCTTTTCATTTCATTAATTATATCTCTTAATGTTTTTTCTTTTACTAATTTTGGGCTTTACTTATTCTTGTTTGGTTTTTGTTTTTGTTTTAAGACAAAAATATCTTGTGATGGAGCTCTGGCTGGCCTCAAACTCAAAATTCACTGGCCTCAGCCTCCCTAATTAGGGAGTCCAAGTATGAGCCACCAGACCTGGCTTGCCTTCCAAAGACTTTGAGGTGCATTATTAGATTACTTATGTGATATATATTTGATTTTTTAAATGTGTACATTTGTGTTATATGTTTGTTTGCAAATACATTTATGTGTACTCATGCATGATGTGCATGTTTATATTTAAGGACCATTCATGGAGATAACCTAGAATCCCTGCAAATATATAGCCCATGGCAGCTCAGTATCCAAGTGGGTTACCTGGTAATGGGAACAGGGACTGTCTCTGACATGAACTGAGTGGATGGCTCTTTGATCACCTCTCCTGAGGGAGGAGCAACCTTACCAGGCCACAGAGGAGGACTATGCAGATAGTCCTGATGAAACCTGACAGGCTATGGTCATATGGAAGGGGAAGAGGACGTCCCCTATCAGTGGACTTGGAGAGGGGCATGGGTGGAAAAGAGGGAGGGAAGATGATATTAGTAGGGGATGAAGGAGGGGTATAGGTGGGACACAAAGTGAATAAACTATAATTAATAAAAATAAAAAATTAAAAAAGGAAAAACCTTCGATATTGGCCCCCAGATGCCTTCCATTTTTTTTTAAATTTGAGATCTTATCTCTCTTTTGTCTGGAAGTTAGCCTCTCATGCCAGTGTAGCTGACTTGTGAGCTTCCAGGGATTGGCTGTCTCCATCTCCCATCTCCCCGTCACTGAGAGTGCAGATGTACACAACAGGTTTTGTGTTTTACATGGTTCTGGTGATCTGAACTCAGGTATTCCCAGTTACAAGGTAAGTACTTTACTAACTGAGCCATCTCCTGATTCTCCAAATCAATCAATCAATCAATCAATCAATCAATCAATCAATCAGCCTCTTTCTCCTCCCTCCCTTCCATTCCTGTTTAAATATAGGCCTTCATAAAAATTCCTCTCAGAATTGAAAAATACTTGATTGGTATTTTGTGTTTGCATTTCATTTAATTCTTGGAATTTATTGTTTCTTCCCTGATTTCTTCATTGGTCTACTGATCACGCAAGAGTATATTGTTATATATAGTCTCTATAACTTCTTTTGCTTTTGATTTCTGTTTATGATATCAGGTCCTCAGAATAGCTTAGTATCAAACAATAAACCTTTTCTCAAGATGACACCTAACTTTTAATAAGCTAAGATATTAGCAGTGGCAAAAGCCCTTCTTTTATTAGAAGGCCTGCAGTATATAATGAGTCCTTGTCACTCCAGATGTCCCCATCGGAATTAAGGTTTGCAGGAACTGTGGACTTACCTTATGGCTAATACTGTTAGTTTCTTTTCAGCAGGGATGACTGATGGAAATTATGGTTTCAGGCTCCACCTTTTCCCAAGAAAACAGCTCTGGAACTGCTTTTTAGTTTTCTCTGCATAGTCTTTCTGCGTGACCGTGCTCTTCAACAGAGTTACCTGTTTTGTGACTGACTTGCAGAGACCTTTCCTATTTTTATCTATTTCCTATTTTCCTATTTTTATCTCTTCAGAATAAAAATCTATCCTTTAGTATTGTGTCCCTTGTTTCTTGTAGTCAGAGTCATAAGGTAAACTGATACTTCCCTGGAAGCAATATTTAATATTTTTATTTGTCAGTGAACCATAAATTTCTGCCATATAATAAAACATATTTCTTGTATGAGTGGATTGATCAGGCTAATTCTGTTTCCTTCTAGATTGTATTTTTTTTTAAGATTCATTTTATTATGTATACATTGTTCTGCCTGCATGTACACCTTCACGCCAGAAGAGGGCACCAGATCTCACCATAGATTGTTGTGAGCCACCATGTGGTTGCTGGAAATTGAACTCAGGACCTTAAGAAGAGCAGTCAGTGCTCTTAACCTCTGAGCTATCTCTCCAGCCCCTCCTTCTAGATTCTTGACTGTGTAGAAAAGAAGTAAAATGTCTCAGGAATAGTTTGTGGTTTTTAAAAATACTCTTCTTCCTGAGAAATATCAAGTCTAATTTTTGATTACTAAGAGTTTATAAAAAAACACATTGAAAAGGTAATTCTTAATATATCTAAACTGTGAAAAAATTTTAAATGTTTTTGTAGGAATCCCCATCACCACCCCTAAATAATTTTAAAGTTGGGATGGAGATTGAAGCTGTTGGTAGAAAAAAAATCCATTTATGATCTGTCCTGCCACAATTGGAGCTGTCAAAGGAGATACAAGGCATATTACTTTTGATGGATAGAGTAGAATATTTGATTATTGGTACAGATATGACCCCTGGGACATTTTCCCAGTTGGATGGTGTTACCTCACAGGAGATGTATTGCAGCCACCAGGAAAAATTGGTAAGCTAATGTCTAATGACATGTTCTATTATTTTAGATCTGATTCTGGTGGCATTGTGTTTAGTAGTGGTGATATTACGACTTGATGACCAATTAGAATGGTAGTAGACTGGTAATAGTGTTCTCGAATCTAGGCACTACAGCTAAAGGAAGATTTAAAGTAAGATAATTAGAATTCTTGAGAGCTCCCAGGAGTCTTATGTTCCAGTTCACGCTAAGAATATGGGCAAAGCCAAAAGTCACATTTAGAATGTTGGAGCTGTATTGTTAATAAACATTGTGTATGTATAGAATATAGCTACGTTAAAAATTACCTTTGTAATGACTATTCAGTTAAAGTGTATATATGAGGTCTGTAGATATAGCTCAGTATAAAGTAAGGGCATAGCATGCACAAGGCACTAGATTCTATTCTTTTTTCTCAATATATATATATATATAATTTTTCATATTAATTACAGTTTATTCACTTTGTATCCCAGCTGCAGCCCTCTCTCTCATTCCATCCCAATCCCACCCTCTCTGCCTCATCTCCTCCCAAGCTCCTCTCTAAGTCCATTGATAGGGGAGGTCTTCCTCCCCTTCCCTCTGACCCTACCTTATCAGGTCTCATCAGGACTGGCTGCATTGTCTTCCTCTGTAGCCTGGTAAGGCTTCTCTCCCCTCAGGGGGAGGTGGTCAAGAGCAGGCTACTAAGTTCATGACAGAGACAGTCCCTAGTCCCTTTACTAGGAAACCCACTTGGACACTAAACTGCCATGGGCTACATCTGAGCAGAGGTTCTAGGTTATATCCATGAATGGTCCTTGGTTGGAGTATCAGTCTCAGAAAAGACCCCTGTGCCCAGATATTTTTGTTCTGTTGCTCTCCTTGTGGAGTTCCTGTTCCCTCCAGGTCTTTTATCTCCCCCTTCTTTCATAAGATTCCCTGCCCTCTGCCCAAAGTTTGGTTATGAGTCTCAGTATCTGCTTTGATACTCTGTTGGGTAGAGTCTTTAAGAGGCCCTCTATGGTAGGCTCCTGTCCTGTTCCCTCTTTTCTCCTTCCAATGAGATGGCTCAGCCTTTAAAGGCTAGGCTCACAACCAAAAGTAAATTCTATTCTTAACACCAAACCCTTTTAAAAACCTTTACACATGTTATTTCATTAGTCACATCTCAACCATAATTTTAAAGAGTGGACATAAGTATTAAAATATATTTTACTTGGTTCTGTTTATATTTTAAAGGTAAACTGATACTTTCATATTTTCAAGTAAATCTGTATGTGAATAAAAATTTGACTCCTTGGAAGCTGTCATGGATTTCTGTTGTTTTTATTGTATTTTTCATTTGTAATGGTGTTTCTAGATTTAATATTATGATAACGTAGATACTTTCTTTCAGAGAAATGTCTCCAAACTATCAAAGCTCCTTGCCAACTCGTCCAAGGGCTTAAGCAAGCCTAATGCCTTTTTTTTTAAGTAATCACTGCTGAGTTTTACTGGCCTTGACTTTAATACAAAATTACAGGTAGAATCACATGTAAATATAATTAAAATTTACTTCACTAAATGTTATCTGTATCATAAAACAGAAATATAAAATAAGTAGGTAAGTTACATAGAGGAGGCTGGGAATAGGAAAGAGCTTTTAGGAAGTTATGTTATTCTCGTAACTAAATGTTATTGAAGTCTTCTATGATTTAACACATTCTTTTGTATAGTAATCCATGCCAGTTCTTTGTTGCTGTATCTAGCAAGTAGATATTAGTTGGTAATTTTGGTGAATGTTTTTGTGATGCATATCTATCTATGATACTAAGGTAGCCAAGGCATAATACTTTCCCTCAGGAAATTTATCGTCCCGTCATGATATACGGACTAGGGGCTGTGTTTAAAAATAACAAAAATGTGGCAAATATGGAAGTAGCTCAAAGTCTGGAAAAAAATAGGGATTGAGCAAAGAAAAGCCTCCGAGAAAATCAACAGAGGGAAGGGAATTTGCTGTGTAGAATGGAACTCTAGGTAAGATAGATTTCTCACAAGGTATAAACTTTGGATTTACTCTGAACACCGAGTTTTGCTTAAGAGTTTGGAATATGTGAATGAGAACATTATTACCTTTTAGTACCATTTTTCTTCCACATTTAGCTATACCCCCAGTCCTGTGGTAGTGGTTCAGGATATGGTTTGTTTGTTTGTGTTTTGTGTGTGTTGTGGTAGCGATCACACCCAGGCCCTTTTTCATATAAATGATGTCCATAATCCCTTTTGGCTTTTTCAAAATGTAGCAACAAGAGTATACTGGTACATTAGTTTGTGCTTTAAGTTGCTTTCAGTTTGGAAGAGGTTATCCTGCATATCCTACTTTCTTCTCATTTTTTTATATTCTGTTGTGACCGTGTAGATGATCTCTAACTTAGAATGACTAAATTTTTAAGTTTTGTTAGTACAGTTCAGTGAAAGCCATAAGCATTAAGGAGAAGCTATACTTTAAATTATAAATTTTAATAATTCCCTAGTCTAAGAATGTGTGATAAAATATTTTTATGATGCTAGGCACTGGCGTTAGAGAACAAGGGCAAGTGTTGGTAGTGTAGCTCTTTTTTTTCTGGATATTATGTTTATGCTTTTACAACTGATTATGTTTGCAAAATGCCCGTCTGTACGTCATATCTACATACTTTCTTATTTTTACTTTGAATACAGTTTTCAATAAATTACGTAAGATTTTATTTTATAATGGGTAGTGGTTCAGAAGGAAAGACTCCCTTCCATTTTAAGAAAATCTACCGAAAGTAGCCCATTGATAAATTGCTAGAAATTTTTAATTTTCTACTCCAACACTTGGGTTGTTTTAAATTAAATCATACTTTTGAAGAATTACACTCTTTTCTGATTATAGGGAATTCTTCTGTATGTAAATCTTCATTTATGTGATGATATTGATTTGAATTATTTTTGTTTAATGCTTTTATTTATGATCTGATAATTTTCATACATTTTTATTTTGTTCATATTCTTTCGCCTCCCCCAACTCTTCCCAAATTATCTACCCCCTTTCCATCTTCTGCACTTCATGTTCTTATTCTCTTCTAAATAAAGATGAGAAACACAGTAAAAAAAACGGGAACCTGATTTGTGCTGGCTGACTGTTTCTGAACACGTGGCCTGCCTTTGTGTATGACTGACATAATCAATGCTATACTTCGTTGAAGGAAATGGATTTTCCCTTTCGCAACAGCTATCAATTACTGTGTAGGGCTGGGATTTGGACTCACTTCCCCTCCTCTATGCTGGGATTTCGTCTAAGACACGCACGTTCATCTGTGAGTTCCTTTGCACATCTTTCTGTTGTGTTTCAAAAATGCTATTTGGTGGAAGTCCTCTTCCATCTCTACTTTCAAGTCTTTCTGCCTGTTCTTTTGCCTCCCTTCCTGACCCTTGAGGGGAGGGGTTGGTCCAGGCATCCCATTTAAGGATGAGCACTGCAGTCTCCTGCTCTGTGCATGTTGTCCACTTTACAGGCCACTGTCTTAATTACCACCCACTGTGAGGAGATTCCCTGATGATGCTTGAGTGATGCTCTCTGTTCAGTCAGTATGGCAATCTGTCCCAGGCGCCATTTGATTTCTATGTTCATTCAGCAGAACCATACTAGTAGGATTTCGCCTGAGGCTTTGAATCTATGTAATCTCCCGTTCTAGGCCTGATTACAGTGGGCTTTTAAATCAAGTCAAAGACTGCTTTGCTACTCCCATAAAATTTGTGCTCTTTGTTTGCACCAGTCTGTTTTGCGGGAAGGCTGTTTTGCTACATCACAATGTGAGCACATGGCTCAGATTCATGGTCTCGTTGCACCTCTGGCAGTTTGTGTAGCACCTTTTAGCACCGTGAAACATAACCAGCAAGGGCGAAGCTTCCAGTTCAGCACCAGCTAAGTTTTTCCATGTTCCATGACATAAGTTTGTGGTGCGTTCCACAAATTAAAACTTCTTTGAGATTTTTACTGTCAAGTTTTGGTGAGCAACTAATAGTATTAGCAGTGGTCAGTAGTGTTAGGGGAGGGGGTCTGTGGGGCACCTTTGGCCAACACTTCAATAAGTGATGACCTATTTCTAAGACTGGTTTTTCCTAGGTAACAAGTAGGTGTCCCTTTATTACATGGTCACTCTGCTGTAACTGTTTTGATATGTTTTTCATGGAATTTCTACTGCAGTAGGTTTTCATATGGCCCTTCTGAAGGCTTTCCTTGTTAGATATCCCTCTGTACAGTTCCACCTCTCTCTTCAATCCAGTTCCCCTACCCAATTTAATACGTATAATTTTTTTTTTGTTTGTTTGTCTGTATGTTCAGTCTTTCCAAGTTTGCTTATGGCCATTCCGTCTGTTGCAGGTTCTTTTCTGTATTCATAGATGGACTATGAAACTTGTTACTCCCCGTGAAAGGGATGAGGTGTGACACTCAAAGTCCTTTGTCTGTCTTGCCATACCTCATAGTCTTCGTTCAGGTTTATATCATCTCCTCATTTCTGCCTGGGTCCAGTAGTCATTTGAATTTTAAATTTTGATTTATTTGGTTCTCTTTGCCTAAGCTCTTTAATTCAGAATCACAGTTGGTTGTATTTTTTATGTCAGTTAAGAGTTTCTCATCCTATCTCTGAACAGATTGCCCGACTTTATTTTTCTGTCCGTTTGAATCCAATTGGAGGTTATTAATCATCTTTCAAAGTGGACTTTTGAATTCTTTATCCTGTTTTTTTTTTTTTTTTTTTTTTTTTTTTTTTTTTTTTTTTTTTTTTTTGCCGTTTAAACTATTTTGGGACCTGGTTACTGAGTTGGAAGCTTAAAAACATTTTCGTTAATCTATCTGTATGCGTGTCTGCATGTGCGGTTGTTTACACGTACATATGGGCGTTCCAAGAGGACAGAGGAAGGGTGTTGGATATTTCTACAACTGGAGTTACAGGCAGTTGTGCTCCACTCGGTATAAGTGTTAGAGATAAACTCCGTTCTTCTCGAAGGGAAGCAACAGGCAC